GGAGCTCAGCTCAGCGCCGCAGAGAGCCCGGCACTGCGGGTGTGGTGGTGTTTGGAGACGTGTCCAGCTCTGCAGACACCTGCAGCCTCCACGCCTCTGGTAACGTCATCCCCACTGCGTCGGAGTTTGGAGAAAATGTTTGTGCTGAGCGTGCAGCCTGCGGTAGAACCCGCTCACCAGATCATAAATGGGGCCGTGTAGCAGTCCCTGCTATTCTGGGCCCTCGGTTATCTCATGGCAAAAACTTCCCAGGAATATTCTGCAGTTGTTGCTAACAGATGGGGTAAATAATTTCGCTGGGAAGGAAAGCATCCACTGACACCGTTACATTTTTCCTCTAGATCCCATCTAATGCCGAGGCTGAAGGAATCGCGCTCCCACGAGTCTTTGCTCAGCCCCAGTAGCGCTGTTGAGGCTCTGGATCTCAGCATGGAGGAAGAAGTGGTCATCAAGCCAGTCCACAGCAGCATCCTGGGACAAGACTATTGCTTTGAGGTAAGGAGCCTTGTTCTCTGCGCCGGGGCTGACCGGGGAGCCGGGTGTGGGCTTGCGTCGTGGGCTTCCTACTGCTGTAAAACATTTCTGCTCGGAGCTGCTACGCAGAGACCGTTTCATAAGCTGAAGATGATTTCCATCTTTCCAAGGAGGATCGTAGCCACAAAACCAGAGCAGGGAGCGCTCTGCCTTGTGACCGCTGTCGCCGCAGAGCTCGCTGCCGGCACAGGTGCTGCACCGCTTAGGGCCGTGTGTTAGCAGAGCAGAGATTTGTAGTTTGTGTTCATCAGAAAGTGCTAATCCCTACTCAGTGTTCACAGAGACATGAGACGTGGTCACGACGACAGCCTGCTGGTGTCAGTGGGAGTGTTGGGGGCTTTGTCTAGAACAGTGAAGCTTCACTTGTTTTGGTAATCGGAAAAATCTATGAGTATTCCAATTTTTTTTAACATCTGTTATGGCATGTGGTGAAATCTGTACTAGCAGGAGGTGGTAGGACACGTACAAACCAGTCTGTGGCTGGAGAATGCAGTGGAGTATGTCTGGGGAGTCATTTGTCCTGCGTCGCGGCACGGTGTTGCTGCTCACGGCAGTCACTGGGTGTAGAACCGGGAAACGCTTTTCTTACAGTAGTAAGGTGGCCGACACTTGTGTTCCTGTGAAGAGAAGGTAACTGGTTTGTGCTGGGGCACAGGAGAGCAGACAGACCGTGAGTCCGTGGCTGGAGCGTGCTGGAGGGGGCGGTGGGACTGGCCTTGGACGGGCAGTGCTGGGTGAAGGTGGCCGTGGCAGTGTCCAAGGGGCTCAGGCTGCAGAGGTGAAGATTTTTTTTTCTGTAGTGAAAGTGGCACGCTCGGAAAGAAATGAGTTCAAAGGTTCATTTATTAAAATACAAGCAGGTAACACAAGAAACAGCCTTACAAAAAATAGCCCCAAACGTAAACTCTGGAGTGGGCTGAGGTGTAAATTTTCCAGTGCTGTTCATTCTCTGTGGAATTGAGCAAGTGCGGCAGGTCAGAAGGAGAACAGTTTTGTAAATTATATGGCCTCTATTACGTTCCACTCAAGAAAGATAAAATGAAGCTAGATGGAAAATAGATGTGACATCCATAATATAAGAGTGGTTTACCAATTCTGTTCAGCGCACAAGAGCAGAAGAAGGGATATGAACAGTACTTGTAGAAAGTTGACTGAGAGGGAAATTACACAAGCCGTGCACTTGTAAGGAGGAAGAGAATTTTATTTTTAAGTGAGTTGGATAAAGAAGAGTCATACAGGAAAAAAGAGCATGTTAATTGCTGTTCTGCAAATCCTGCAGAGGAAAGGAAGAATGCTGGAAAACAAAAGGGACGCTGAGGTACAACTGATCAGCAAGCTCCGGCGAGAAGGACGGAGGTGAGAGCTCCATGGCAGGTTGTGGTAATGCCTCGGTCTTGCGTCTCCAGAGAGCCTCCTTCAGCCTCGGACGGCTTGGCGTGGGTTTGCAGGTCTCCAGGGATCACCGGTGGGCAGCGGGCAGGGCCCACGCCGCGCCGTGCTGCCGGG